TAGTTATTTTGAATTCAAGATTACAAATGAGATTCGAGATTATGTGTATTAGTTGATTTTTTGATGTCCGAAATGCAAACGATTTCAGAATTGAAGCTTAATATCGTTATCGATATTAACTCGCGACCGCATTTTCAATGTCAAGATTCATCGCCTTTCCTTATTCGTAAGTAAACAAGATACTGAATGCATTTTGGGCGCTCTGTCTACAAGGACAATCAGATCAACTGTTGACCTAGAATTGATTTTTATTCCATTTTGTTCGACCGAAGAAAACATACTCAAGCGTTAATCACTTCCGCTTACTGGGTGATACGAGCATAAAGTCACATTCGTATTATATGTATTGACCAAGACGCGATAGATAATATTTTGCGTTACGTGAGACCGATGTCGAATGACTATGTGATTCAGCATGATGTGACTAGCGTGCCTGATTCGATTTGAGAACGTTATTTTGGACCTGCGGTAAACGTGACTTATTAAACGACTCTGCTCCAAATAAGTACAGAGAACAAAAGGTATAAATACGTAATGGAAACTCACAAACGATTTGAACATAAGTGTTGCAAGGATCTATCATTCGGTACGGTAGTTTATCTATAAATTGCCTTGCTTTTGCCAGACAACAGTTTTTGTTTACATCGCATATAAATATTAATCAGCTGCTCTTTATATTTTGAGGGTGTTTACTGCAGCAAAAAATCAGTGAAATTTTTTAAGCAAGAATTTTTAGTCAGCCGGCAAAAAAGAGACTTTGGACCTAAAACCTGTTTTGTATGCTATATTGTGTTTACGTTCTTAATGTTTAGTTTTGATTATTAACTTCATTCATTCGAAATATCGATTCGTTCGTATAAATTGAAAGTGAATGTTAAGTTGCACGTACACATTGTTGGTCTTGTTGTTCAAGAAAAATAAAAAACCCCATCTCCAGTGCAAAATCTGTGGTAAATAACTGTTATAATATACAAAATAAATTAACAAGTTCGCAATACTTTTTATGGGGCAAATACAGAAACAAGCTACTCAAATTCATCGATAACTCGGTAACAAACACAAATACGCATCACATCTACAACATTACGCTACCGCACGCACACGATTGCATAAATTTGCAAAACGAAAAAAAAACATAAGATAACGTAATGTAAATAACAAGCGAACGTTCCACACCGCAACACTTCTCTTGGCAGACACATTGATACATACATACCATTTGGTTACGCAGTGGGCGAAACCGTAGCCAATACACCCAAACGGCACGCACACACATCACACTTCAGAATTGAAAACAAAAACAAAAAGAAAATAAACGTGAACCAGACACTTTACATATGTGCGCGCATAAATGAATTTTCACATGGAATTAGAGTGCCATTCGCATCAAAAACATTCACTAGTTCACTTGTGATCTGTTCAATTTTTCATCGATTTAATGGAGTAAAAAATTAAAAACAAAAACGCATATAACTTAAATCCAGTTTTGAAAGAAAAAAAAACACATTTATTTGCCGAGCCCGTAATTGTCGACGCCGTTGTTGTTTTCAAGTCACGCTATCAGTATATTGAGGATCAAAATCGTTTCTACACACACATTCGATCAAAAAATCTACACGCAGTGTTTTCGTATTTGAAAATTGTCTTGTGATATGTATAAATCGTTTTTTTTCGAGCGCGATTAATTTCATAATAATTCATTTAAAAAAAATATTTCATTGTAGCTTTGTCAAAGCTGTAAACACAATTGAGATATATTCGAAGTGATACTGCTGTTTATTAGTGAAATGTCAAGACTTTCAATTAATTTGTAAAGTCAGCTCTATAATTAAATTATTTTTAAAGAAAAAAAGGCAGGCTGTGTAAATTATTGCGTAGAGAGGGAGAGAAAAAAAGGTATTTTTTTATTAAATATTTTTCTTACATTGTCATTTGTTTACGAACCATGTGAATGTTGAAATTATTGAGAACGAAAAACAAATTAATCATAAAACTCTAAATTTCCAAATCAATGTTCGATTTTGAATTGTCATCGCGAGAAAACCATTTATTGCCTAAATAAAAACGACATTTGTAAAAAAAAGAAGAAGAAATTTATGCTAATTAAAATATGACCAAAAAAGTAATATTTTCAATTCCCATTCATCGATTTCAATCACTTTAAAATTACTCTTAATTTCATCTTAAAAATATTTCTTGTTTTATTAGCATTTCATGTATTTACATTTTTATTGGCTGTTTTTACAAAATTGGCAATAAAAATTTCCATTCCTTCAAATTGCCTCATTATTATTCAAATTCGTTATCTCGCCTAAACTTGATGTTTTGTGCTATTTTTTTTCACATGCACGTGTCGTTTCTTCTACAATCATTTTTAAAGGTGAAAAGTCATTAGACAGATGATTTATGTAAAGACGTCACTAAAGAACAACATTCTATCTAGACTGTGAATAATTAATATTCCGGGTATACCGAAAAAACGGTGAATCTATTTGGGTTACGTCAAATCTAATCTATCAAGAGATTAGAAAAAAAAAACATCAACAAATAATCACATGGTTATCTCTTCAAATTTTACGTTTTTATAGCTCTTTGTAAAGCAACATGATGTAATGATAAGAACAATTTCTAAGTTTTAATTCCATTTCCAGGAGTACAAAATGGTTCTTTTAATCAAAAGTGCACAGAATTTGTTGCAGCGATTGCCGCAAACAAGATTATATTCAAAAATCTTTTATCCAAACTCGAATAGCAGTGAAGTTTTTGTAAGTATTGTAAAAATTATTTAAAAAGCCTAAAATTCCTAGTGTCTTTCCATGCCAATCTGATGATCAATTTAAAAATTTAGTTGAGCTATTTAACCGAAGATGAACACAAGGGCATTGCTATCATTGGTTTGAATAAGCCCGAGACGAGAAACGCCTTCAGCCGATCAATGGTGAATAATTTAGCGGGAGCTTTGGATGTATTGGCCCATGACAAAAATGTGCGAGCTGTCATAATCAGAAGTATGTTGCCGAATGTGTTTTGTGCGGGTGCCGATTTAAAAGAGCGAGCTACAATGACGACCCCACAAGAGGTACATCGATTTGTGTCATCTCTTCGTGGCCTTCTGAAAAGTATTGAACAATTGCCTGTACCAGTTATTAGTGCCGTTGATGGTGCTGCATTGGGTGGTGGCCTTGAAATGGCGCTTGCCTGTGATATTCGCACTGTGTCAAACGAAGCGAAATTAGGTGAGTGATAAGTACACTTTATCTCAATGGTGTTTAGTATTTGAACATTGCTAAATAATCTCAATTTTTAGGTTTAGTTGAAACAAAATTAGCAATTATTCCCGGTGCTGGTGGTACGCAACGTTTGGCTCGAATTATTGGTCCAGCAAAAGCGAAGGAATTAATTTTTACTGCAAAAACTCTGAGCGGACTTGAAGCTACACAATTGGGAATGTGCAATCATGCCGTGGAACAAAATGAGACAAAAGACGCTGCGTATAATAAAGCTATTGAAATTGCAACCGAAATTCTGCCCAATGGTCCGATTGGTGTGCGCATGGCAAAGAAAGCCATTGATCATGGTATGCAAGTTGACATTCATACGGGTTATGCAATCGAAGAAGCTTGCTATGCCCAAGTCATTCCAACCAGCGATCGATTAGAAGGACTTAAAGCCTTTGCTGAAAAACGAAAACCTATATACAAAGGCGAATAACATTTAATTATGTTTTTTGTTTCGTTTTTAACTAGCCAACAAATCAAAATAATTTTAGTAAATAAACACGCATAATTTTTTTTCGTTTCCTTCCTCATAATTATTATCGAATACATGGATTTTATTTTTGGTTCATTCATAATTAGTAATTATAATTTTTTATTTTTAAAATTGCCAATATAACTTTCTTATGTTAATAAAATACAATATCATTGCTCAATGAAATGTATCCGTTCTTCTTTTAATTCAAACAAATGGCTGTCAAAGGCAATTAAATCTTGGAATGTACATTTTTAACAAAGAAATATCGATATTTACAATTGGCAGGTGCAATGGCAATTAAATGCAATGGCAGGTTGGAAAATTTAAAGTTGAAATAATTCGGTTAAAATGCGTCGAGTATCATCGGGTGATGCTACCTTGTGACCAATAGTTCGTGGATCGTTATAGATTTCATGATCGTTGCCACCTTTTTCCGTTTTGTCACCGAAGAAATGGATTTCTTTATAGTTTTTCCCTGGTTTTGTAACATGACGCAATGCAAACGTTTTATCCCATCCATTTGGAAAGACATCAAACGATATTTGGCCACCAATACTGTACGTTAAATCAATGTCCGAAAATTCTTTGCGCAATGCTGCAATCATATTTTCACGTACATTATGTTCGTTATCAAATTGATTGAAGGTAAGCCGCTCTTCTTTTGTGCATTGCCGTCCGATCGGGCATACATTCATCATGCCATTTCGAAATTCTAGGAACGTTCCACGTTTGAATGGCAACTCCAATTCGGACAGATATCGCAAAACAAAATTGATAAATCGTTGCAAAGTTTGTTCGCCCAAATGCTGTTGCAACGATTCTTTACCAACTTCGACTCCGTTTTCAATTTGAACCAGCCCATTTTCGGGAAACACATAATCAAATTGCTGCAAAATTCCACGGCCATTCAATTGTTCGAACATTTTCTCCAAATCTGAACCGCCTACGATACCTGAAACAAATTTGATTTGGTATATAGAGCCAAAATGGAACCAGATTATTTCATTTAAAAAAAAAACAAATACCGATTGTTGCACGTGGCTTAATCTGCTCATACATGAACTTTTCAAAATCAGCTTCGACATTCGATCGGGGCTGTGTTAAGGTTCCATCTACATCGAACAACAACAAAATCTCATCTCTAGCTAAGGCAACCATTGCTCTCTATAAAATGAACAAAAAAAAAAAATAGAAAATATTAAAACACACATTTACACACAAAACATACTTTCTCTTTGCTACGAAAAACAAATCTCAACCGACAAAAGGTGAATAAACGCTGAAAAAATTGGACCGCAACCTTTTGCGTAAACAAGTCTTTGAATTTGGTTCAATTACAATGAATGTATGTGTGTGTATGTGTGGTTGTACGTCAGGTCAGTGCAACACTATTCGCTTGACAAAACAGTCACTTTGATTTGTGCACTGTAGGGTTTCAAACGATTTTCATAAGACTGACGTCAGAACAATTCAATATATTCTGATTTTAAATAAACTTATTGATAAGAATCGAGTACACGTACCACAATCGTATAAATGTAGTTTATGTTAAGTGATTGAATACGTAAGCTCAACGAGATAATCACAAGAGAACTGAGAGATATCGACACGGAGCGGTTTTAATATTCACGGAATATTACGAAAAAGAATCTCAATTGACACACAACTACCAATGAATTGTGATTTTAAATAAATAATACACCATCAATTATACCGGCTGACGAGCTTAGACACAAGTATCGTTTTACTTTCAAGGCAAATACGGTCAACCATGGTTTTGTTGTTGTACCGTCGTTTGTTTATTGTTATCATACTGACATTCAATGGTTTCGTGGCACGTCAAGTTTATAGCAAGGGAACACAGCGAAAGAACGTACTCTTTTTATTAGGTTTGTCTTTTTGCGATGGTAAACATACTCTTTGGTCTCGTTTTTTAGTACTGATTGTTGAAATGTCATTTATTTTGTTTCAATTTCAAATAATAATTCTTCGGTGAGGCTTTAGAATGGCATAATAATTGCGTTCTCCCTTTTTCCAGCTGACGATGGTGGCTTTGAAATGGGAGCATATCGGAATCGAATGTGTCAAACACCAAATCTCGATTCATTGGCCAAAAGAAGTTTGATATTTAACAATGCTTTTGCATCAGTTTCGAGTTGTTCACCGAGTCGAGCTTCGATTTTAACCGGTACAATTTTGTTTATTGCTTCCTTTCTAACCTAAAAGTAAAAAAAAAATAATTTCAATTATTTAAAATCATATCAGGTACGCCCAGTCACCAAAATGGTATGTACGGTCTGCATCAGGGTGTTCATCATTTCAATGCCTTTGATTCGGTAAAAAGTTTGCCAACTATTTTACGTGAAAATAAAATAACAACTGGATTAATCGGAAAAAAGCACGTTGGACCATCGAGTGCCTTTACATTCGACTATGAACGCACTGAAGAAACCTATTCGATTAACCAAGTTGGCCGAAATATAACAAAAATTAAACTTTTTGTCCGAGATTTTTTGGCGCAAAATGGATCAAAGTATGATGTGATTTAGTTTATCTTAATTTCATTGCTTACGATGTCTTTATTTCTATTCTGCACAGTCCATTCTTTTTGATGGTGTCTTTTCATGATCCACACCGTTGCGGCGATGTAACACCACAATATGGAAGTTTTTGTGAACGATTTGGTTCGGGTGAAATTGGAATGGGTTTAATTCCAGATTGGCATCCGATTTATTATCAATGGGATGAATTAGATTTACCATACTACGTACCAGATACGGAACCAGCACGACGGGACATTGCCGCTCAATATACAACCATTTCACGTTTGGACCAAGGTGTGGGTTTGGTGATAAAAGAATTAGAAGCTGCTGGACATCTGGATGACACTCTAATCATCTACACATCGGACAATGGACCACCGATGCCATCGGCTCGCACAAATCTTTATGATCCAGGTTTTGAAAAATCAATAACATTTTAAAACAACAAAATACTATTGAACTTTTTTTCGGGTCGTAGGTGTACGTGAACCAATGTTTATATCATCACCCGACAACATACAACGTCGAAATCAAGTTACATATTTCATGACAAGTCATTTGGATATCTTACCCACTGTACTCGATTGGTATAAAATTGAACCGGAATATAATATGGACCTAGAGCGGAATTTGTTGCAAAAATCTGTATTGACGGGACGTACGTTATTACCGTTGCTTGTAAAAGAACCAGATGATGATCCTGAGGCAGCGGTTTTTGCAAGTCAAAGCTATCATGAAGTAACAATGAACTATCCCATGAGATCTATTAGAACAAAACGCTATAAACTCATTCATAACTTGAATTACCATGCTCCGTTCCCAATTGATCAAGATTTTTATGTTTCACCAACGTTTCAGGTGCGACTCGTTTTTGAACTTAATCAACACATATGCCGAATTTTTCATTATTTTTTTTTATTAATTTGTAGGATATTTTAAATCGAACGATCAACAAACAACCATTGCCATGGTATAAGACCCTTGGCCGTTATTACAATCGTGATGAATGGGAATTGTTTGATCTCAAATATGATGCCGATGAGCTGATAAATATTGCTGAAAAGCCATCGATGAAGGAGATCCGGTCAACGTTAGAGAAACGTTTGAATGCGTGGTTAGAAGAGACACAAGATCCATGGCGGTGTGCACCACATGCAGTTCTTCAAGATAAGGGAGATTTTAAAAACAATCCGCAATGCATGACTTTGGGCATATAATAATAAAACTCATTGTTTTCAAAACACCTTTTTATCATTTCTTGCACTCATTTTATTGGTTTGTGATAATCCAAAAAATCATTCAGATAAGCACAATAATACTCAAATATATTACTTTTCATTATGAAATATGAAATTGTTGGTGTTTTTTTTATTCAGTTTGTTTGAGATAATTAAAATACAATGATATCAATATGTTCAAATAAAAAAGTCCGTTCTTTCATTCAAAGAGGAGATTGAGAACAAAAGTGAAAATTGTCATCTGTTTTGAGTGTGTTTCTTTATTGTGAATGGTAAACAATTTCTCATTAAATTTGTGCGCAACAGCAACAGCAAGGTCTTTCATAGAAAAAAATATCAAAATATTTACATTTGTTTTGTGATTGATTTGCGCGAGGTGTACAGTGTAATGCGTACAGCATTATTCAACACACATTTTTTGCTTTATTGCTATACATACTGTCTATATACATTTGTTCCTCATCAAATTCAATCAAATCGATGAATAGTTTGCGGCGCTGACTATCGAACTCAAATCCATGTTTGAATGTAAATCAGTGCTGAATTATAGCGTGTAGCTCAAATGAAGAAACATTCACATACACAGCAGTGTGCATAGCATATACAGTTATCAATTTGTCATTCGTTTGTCCGAATCACGCCATAATTTTTTGTGTGATTGTATTTTTGCATTAATTTGTGAATGCTTCGCAGCTCGTTGCATCTGTATCGCATCCATTCTCAAGCAATAAGGACAAAAAGAGAGAGCTTGAAAGAGGAACGAAAGAGAAAGAAATCGCAAAGTATCATCACGAGGATTATACATTTACTATTATTTCCTTTTTCATATTTTGCTTAATTCAATCGGATTTCAATTTTTTTTGCAGCCTCTTATCACTATACCTACACTCCATTCTCGTTGATAGCGTCAATGTTAAATTAATGTTCACTTTTATTTTCTTTGCAATTTATTTTTGATTGAGTGAAGGAGGGAGAGAAAAAAAGTATGAGCAAAATTGCACGTTCGCCGAAAGAACGTTTCAAAAATAATCGTGATTTTATTTCAGAAATTGAATCGGATTGAAGGGTGTTGAAATAATTTCTATTTATAAACGATTTTCAGTTATTCGAACATAACAATGTGTGAGATGGGCTCCAAAGGTCATTGCGATTTCCAGAAAAAATAGTCAATTTTTTAGCAAACAACAGTTCTTATATCGCATCGTAATCGTCGACTTTGGAATTGGAATTATTACGACAAAAAAAAAACCTGATGTAATAATATTTAGATATTTTGTCGCATCGCGGTCGTGTAAGTACTTCAACCAAAAACAAAAAACATGAAACAACGACAAAACAAAATGATGATCTAGGTGAATCAGAGCCTAAGGGATTTCATTTTTTTAAATGATTATTGCTGTTATTGTTGTCTATCATATCTATATGACGGTGGATAAAGCTTCAACTTGTGATCATCGTATTTATCAGTGACTATTTTTGTAAATCATTCTGCCTACGTTGGCCACAGGCTAATACAATAGCGTTTCTATTCGATCATTCATGACAGTTCGCCTGATAACCAACGCATATATGTGAAAAAGGTCGTTTTAGAAAAAAAGGGATCCAACCATTCAAAGACGTAATTGTAAATGAAAAGCAATAAATCATTATGTTTCCAAAACAAACTAAAAACTATACGATTATGTGTGTTTGGTTCGAGTCATGGTATCGTATAAAGTGTTTGTGTGCTTTTTTTTGTCTAGACAAATTTGCTTTATCAACACAAACGGCCTTTGATGTATATAGTTCACTCGATTTTATAATTGTAAATATTTACATGTAATGAACGGTTCATAAAAAAATAGATTAACCGCTATTATTGAGAGGTTCTTGCGAAAGTGAAAGTGAATTTTTGTTTTGTCAAAAAAAAAACGTCGAATTATTGTTCTTCTGAAACCAACGATAAACAAAACCTCTCTTTCACCTTGTCACGGCGAGACACATGCGACAAACGTTCTGACATTCCAGTTTGAATTTGATCGATTTGTACTCATGTTTACCAATATAATTGCGGGAAAAAAATAACCTGCACTTCTGTTTATAAAGTTCTTGTTTTTTACTTTTCCTCCCACACGTAGTGTGAAGGGAAAAGTTTTGTAATGGGGGCTAAAAATAAAAATTCTCAAAATGGTCGGAGATGACCTTTTCTGGGTTATGAATGAAAAAATAATGGACTGGAGACCAGGTTGTTGTGGGTCTGTTCCACGTTGTACGTTGTACGTGACCGTTTTGTTCACCCATTATCTCTTTTCTCGTGATAGTTTTTCAAAATCTGATTTTATAGGATGCTTTGGAATATTGAGGAATAGATATCATTAGATTTTGGACCAAATTGGTCCGCTCCATCATGGCCTTATAGTGCATAAAAATTTTGTTTTTGAAAAGTTTGTATGGGGAATGTCAAAATTTGTTAATTTTATGGTCAAATTTAGATTCCTCGACCCAAAATTAGGGGGGTATGGTATCTTTGATGTTGGCTATCATGGTCTACCATGATTCAACATGGTTATTTAACCAATTTTTAGACTATTTTCGATCTTTTGACCAATAAACATGATAATTTTGGTCAGACATCATGGTCCATCATGGTATAACACCATTTAACACGGTTATTGGGGTCGGACATGATGGTCCAACCAATGAGAGGATGTGAAAACTTCAAGGCTCTTTGAACCGACGGTGGCGCCCAATATTTCAAAGCGGACGTCAATGTAATTTAACAACTTAAATCGAAACAAAACAGCGCGACAATTTTAAAATTTGCTGTCATTTCCTCCCATTGGGTCCAACACCACATGGTTATTGAGGTCGGTTAAACGTCTGCCATGGATTGAGTTTTTTTTGTATATTTATCTCATGATGTATACGGCGAAAAAGTTCGTCTTACAGTGTAAGACTTTTTATTCTCGTCTTCTTCTCGGCTGAATTGTCTGCGATGGAATTTTTTGCCTTCAATTAGTTTATTAAAAAAAAAACCGACATTATCACTTTTCTTTTCGGTTTAAAGTCCACCCGTATACACAATACCACATGATGTAATTCAATACAATTGACAGTAAAATACACTGAATGAGCTGTTATCAAAAGAATCTGATTAATGTGCTTAATCAGCGTATGGAAACATCGCTGTTGTTATATGTATACGTATAATCGCTTTTTTTTAGTAAGTAAAATCAACAGAAGGAACTGAACTTTGCACATATACTTCAATTTTATTAATGCTCCTGATTACGGAAAAAAAATTCTTTATCTCCCTTTCTATTTATTGGTAATGATACAGATTTTAAAGTCAAGTAGCATTTAAAAAAAATGCAACATGTGAATTGTGTGCATATTCGATTATCGTAATTGTTATTTTACGATGCTTTTAGAAGTTTGAATTTAAACCTGCGTCATTTCCTCGAGACACTTACGATTTGTTTCATAATAAATCTGCTTCCCCTCAGGGTGAAGCCAATCAAATAAAAAAAATACTTGTCTCTTGTTTTGACTTGAAACGTAACACAATACTTTCCTTCGACTACATAAATATGGTTGTGCAATAATGTCTTTGGTTTTACCGTTTATTCTCACCAATTCGGTACACAAAACCGAGAGCATTAGAAACAAGACCTATTCAAATTACCTTGTTGTTTGTTGATTTGTTATATATATATTTTCCAGTCAGTTTGCCGTGTGTTTGGACGATTGTGCATTTCCTCATTTCGGCACAGTCAGCTTATTAACGATACGCAAAGTTCATTCGCATACATTGAACTAATTTTTGTTTCTTTTATTTCGTTCTCTCCCTCTCATGCGCTCACTTGTAATTTTTATTGATTATTTTACAGCCAATTAAAATGTAAGGCGATGGGAATCGATAAATGCACACCACAGGGAGACAGAGACACGTGTACATTTGATATGTGCCAGCAAAGAATGCATAATATTGAAAAAAAAAAAACAATTCGCAATTTTCAATCGCATTCGATTTTATTAGTTTTTTTTATTGAATTTCATGAATTCGTGACTTGTAAACTATAAATTATATCCGCCTAATTTTCTATTAATTGGTACATTCTATTTCGGTTTATTTTCTAGAACAAAATAATATTTAGTTTTAATAAGTCGGCTGACAAATAATATGCTTTTCTATATAAAAACAATTTATTTTTCGACGATCTTCTTTTTTTCTCTCTCTTTCTCTTTCCATCATCGTAAATTATATATATATCATTATTTCGGCAAATTCTTTCAACTTATTCGCATAAACTAGTACAAAAAAGAGACACAAACGACAAGAAATTGCATGCACTGCATTTGGTTTCTCTATCATTTCGCATGCATATACAAAATGTTGTATTTGGTACACAATTTTTTTCTTTCTTCTTTCAATAAATTTCATGTAGAAAACTAGCTAATCTAAAAAAAATTAATCGCTATAATATTTTTTCCACGTGTTTATGAAATGCCTGACGTATATTTGCTACAATTTTATTGAACAACAAAAAGAAAAAAAGAAATTTATGTTCTTCAGTGTTCCTTTTTGGAATTTGCAACGCACCACAAATAAAATAAACAACGAATATTTTTTTGTGGATGTGTATGTGTGTAAAAAAGAATATGTGAACAACATAAAAAAAGAGCTTTCGCATTGACTTTGAACCAATCACGAAATCGATGATTTGTGCATTGACAAAAACAAAAAAAAAAAGACTGCTTTTCCTTTCACACGGTGTGGAAAAGTAAATATAAAAAAAATATACGCTAAAAGCAAAACAAAAATTGAAAACAGCTCATAAATGTTTACGATTCTATTTGAATGACTATTGAATAGAATTAAAATTTATCGGTTTCAAAATCAAATGAATGTTCGATACGATTTTTGTTTTATTTTTTGGCCCAAATGGAGAATATCACATTTGCCATCGTTTCCATTTCTATCGTGCGGAATCGATTGTGTGCTGGTGTGTTCGGATGATTCACCAAAATATGTGAAATAAAAGTGTGTTTTAATCATAGCCTATCACAATTGTAGTGTCTGCTCAAAACGATTTTCACCTCATCGTAATCGTTGTCATCGACATTTCTCGATCACTAGAGAAAGTTCTAGATATCGAGCAATAACAACGAATATTTATTCTAACTCACAATTTGGCCGCAACGTGTTGAGCATAATCAACGACAACGAGACACCGTATTTCGAACACAATCTATTTCCCGATATTCGATTAGCAACAAAGCATGCTCTGTGCACTTCGAATTGTGAAACATTTTCAATTAAAAGTATACTTGTTTGATATCGATTATTTCCTATTGTATTTCTTATTGATTTAAATTATCTTTTTTGTTGTTGTTTGGTCTTTGATTTCGCTTTTGATTTGCCCTTTTTTCGTATGTTTGAGTTCATTCTACTCGCTTATTCTCTTCATTTCTTTCTCTCTTCTTTTTTTTTACTTTGACTCACTTGCGTATGTGTGTTTGAGTGTGATATGAATCGAAATCGAAAGCAAAAAAAAATGTTATACTTAAATAAAAAAAAATTGACGAATTATTAAAGTGTTCATTGCTCATTGTTTGATGGGTGATGGTTGTTTTGCTGTTGCTGTTGTGGTGGTTGTTGTTTATTGTTCAACTGTCCATTTTGTTCGGTTTCGCTGCCAATGGCTATTGTCGATTGACCCGCTTGAACTTTTTCATTGATGAAATTTAAATATTGGGTTAGTCGCAATACGGCTATTAATGACGCCACATATTCCTGTACATCTTCTTTTTTCAACATTTTTACTTGACGCGATACGGTGCGATAAACACGGCGTGCAACTTTATTTGATAAACGTCCAACCGTTTGGCATGTATGAAGCACTGGATCAGCATTTGCATCGATTGGTGCTGGAAAATGAAACAAAAAAAATGTCATGAAGAAAAAATGATTAGTACTTGCGAATCAAATGGATCGATTCATTGGAAAAAGGGGCTCACAAAAAATTTATTTCTAATGAAAAGAGTTTCATTTTTGTCACACACTCTCTTTCTCTCTCTCTCTCTCTGCTTCAAGTAAGCAAGCTTGCGCGATCATATTCCACATCCGCAGATAATTTTAGCTGATAGTACACAATTTTTCTTTGGATTTTTTTTTGCTGAATTTCAGTTGGTCATTTTGGTGCTCTAACTTTAAATACTCAACCCATAATATCCGTATGCCGTCGAATGACTATGTTTTAAATACATATATTTGTGTTAATGTGGAATCCGGAATTGGACTTTGACTGAATTTCAATGACATTTCTATTTTGGGGTTATTGTTTGTTGTTGTTGTCGCTTTTTTTGATCGTGTGAGCAAAAAAAAAAACTAAGCCATTCAAATGATACCGCCAAATTTGCCGTTCGTTTCATTTGATTGAAATAAGTCATATGAACAATGCGTGAAGAGACCGAGCGCGTCGCATTTTCGAAACCGAGAAATAATTTAACGACCATATGGTTTTCGTCATCAAACTATTCACATTAACGAACGACAAAAACAACAACTTACTACTCTGTATAACGAACCGGCGAACGCGCGCGCATAGTGAATGTTTTGTGCGACGTGTAGTACGTATACGGTCCAAAGTTCACTGTCAATCAAGTTTAATGCTATCTTTTCAAAGCAACTACTTCTACTCTAAACGAACTGTATCAAGGAACAACAACAAAACTTGATGATAAACAAAGGAACAAACATAAAAGAAAAACGAGAATAACATCGCGACCATGCATATTTATATAGACGATTTATAATTTGTCTCATTGGACAGTGTGTGTTAATATCATAACAAAATTCTGTCGAATTTTATCTTGCTAGAAAAAGCAACAGATTTATGAATAAATTGTCAACAGAAGCAAACCATCGCGAATAAAATGTGGACTTTGATATTTGCGAAACTCGAATCTATCACGGCTATAAAGTCAAGACAGATGTATGTATAGAGAGAGGAAGGGAGTTAGAGAGAACGAGAGAAATGTGGTATATTTCCATCGTTATGCAATCGAATTGTGATGTGTGTAATATTTATCGGACTTTTTCGAAACCACTTCAAATCGTTCTACTTATTGATGGTGTTGTTCACGTGAACGATTACCGCGAATCATAATAACAAAAATCGAAAATAAATGCACACTTACTGTTGTCATCTTCAGCCGCATCGTTCTCATTTTTCGGGAAGTAATAGTCGAGTAAGCGTTCAGCCAATGCTGATGTGGTATCGAGTCCGGAAACGGCCATGCTACCGTATTGTGTGGCGAGTACTTCGTTTGCTTTTTGCCATGATAAATCCTTGAGTGAATGGGCTTTTTGTTGACCGGCCACACGCATCGAGCATACACGGCTCAATGTCGGTTGTACAACATCGACCACCTTATTTTTGGCTTGTTGATAAATCTCCTGTGGTTGTTCCTTGATTATTGGTGCTTTTGCTTCAAGCTTATCGATGCCACTGCACAGTGTTTGATCGACATAATGAATGGGACGATCAAGTGTTGAAATAATTGGTGCAGCTGTGTTCACCGCTAAATGTACAGCATCTTCAGCCGCTTGGAATGCCCAGTTGAAAATTGGATTATAACCTGCAAATATAAAGATAACACAAATCAGTGCCAAATTTTTGCTTATATTTTTTTGTACTTTATTTGCAAAATCATGCCAACAAAAAGCGGCTCAATTAACACGCATACTCGTCGATAAAAAGTGATGACTCTGAATGTAAAACTAAAAATAACCGTGTAATTTTTTTTTAATTTATGCAAGTTTGTTGAACAAATCACGAACTTTGTTGGAGTTGTCGATTTAATTACCTTGCACTGCCATGGTTTAATGTAAAAAACAGCTAGCCGAAAATGGAAAGAGCAAATCGGCAGCTACATATTTTCGATATTATTCTCAATAAAAGTGAATCAGACGCGTTCGCGTATCGAATTTTCATTTAATTGTATTTTCTTCGTCACATTTGTTCATTCATTTAACATGCGTGTGGAAAACAGGTTCAGCATTTGGTTGCATTTATCTACGAACAAGTTCATGCTCTGAGATTCTGGTTTCGAATAGATACGTGATGATCTGAATCACATAGTTCCACATTGTCGCTGTGGGTATGGCAGTTGGACTTGTTTCGAGATCAGAGTCGAAAGACAGTAAATATGAACGAAAGAAGAACATGTCGACACAAACTATTCATTTATTTTAATCGAAATGACCGTTGCGCTGATAAAACGCAATGTGAACATGCACTCGTAATTCTTATGTATACACGCACACAAAACAAGACAGACACACAGATTATTAGCTCAAATTAAACGGCAGACAAATTCATTTCACACAGCAAAGCTACATCAAGCGGCAAAGAGAAGAGACAGATAGAGAGAGAGATAGAGAGAGAGAACATACAGTAGATAACAAAAGCGAGTATTTGGGTGCAACGAAACCAGAAATTAATATAATTACAAGACACCGATGTAGAATAAGGTTGTTTGGTTGAAACAGGATTCGAAATATTTACTTCAGCGATTATATTTATGTGCTCATTTCTCCCTCTATCTCTCTCTCTCTTTCTCTCTCTCTCTCTCTCTCATTTTCATTCTGTATCAGAATGCATTTTTTCGGTCAACGAAGAACGTTACACACACACGCATGTTCAATGTTCAGGTGATTATACATGTCTTTTATTCACCTTGAATGAAAGAAGAGAAAGAGATCTGCGAATCGAGGTTTGTTCGCTTGTAAATTGCAAAAATGCTACGCATTTACGCTCAACCGACTCAATTCATTCCAACACACGAATTCATCGTATGCTTACATTACTCATTTTTCTTTTGCATTTGCCGGGTGGTAAATATAAGCAGTAACAACCAGCGACGATTTATTTTTAAAAATGAAAACAAGTATCAAGAGACGAATAATAACAACCGTCGTCGTCGTCGTGATCATCATCGTGCTCGCTATTTTCAAAACGCTTTACAAAGTAATCACTCGCAATTTTGGTCATGTATTAATGAACGAAAATTATTTTCATAAGTTATTCCCTCGTGAATATAATGATAATCAATTGGATGGAAATTATAAGACTTTTGTTTTGCGCACGCATATTCACTGCCAACTGGAATTGAGCATAAAAATCAAAATTGGCCGTTTTTTTATTCGTTGCTGTGTATAAGTGTGAATTCATTAAAGCGATCCCAATGTGCATGATCAATTTCGACAATTTAGATTTCATGTAGTCGCACGCGTAACGGTCATTGCATTCAATGATGTTTAATCGAAGACGAAGAAGAAAAAAATTATACCGTCGACTACATGCCGCCGTATGATGGAGTTTTTGTCGATTTTTGTTGTTGCTCTTTTTTCATACCATTCGTTTGCTCTGTCGCTCTCTCTTTCCGCGCTTTTGCACTTTTATACACTTAAATTAGCACAGACAAGAAGAACTATACAGAAAATGTGCACACACAGAGCAACCGAAATACATTGAAATTGTTGGAGAGTGCGAATGCCACTCTATTGTGCGAAAAGTGTTTGAGTAAGAGCCTCAAAGATTATAAATGCGAATTTGTGTGATTTGTGAATGTCTCTGTGTCTGTGTTTGCCAGAGTATATATGTGAAAATTTCAGGCACACCATTTGAAGTAGTTATTTCAATTGAACAAAAATAGTCACACACACAATGGCAAGTGTCCATCTCAACGATAATCATATCGTTTGTGTGTAATTTTCGCACCACAGTGACAAACGATTGATTTGTGTGTCATTTTAGAAAATGTTTCGATATCATATTTAACATAGAATGAGTGGCTTCGCTGTGTCGAAATGTTTTTAAGCTGCTTTATGCGCTTATGTCTGAGTGTGTGTGTGTGTATGGATGCTAGAGTGCGCCATCGATTATTTATACTACAATGCGTAGGCGTGTGTGTGTGTGAGAGAGTGAATGACGATGCATTGAAAAGAAGGCTCGTTTATTTCACTAAAAAGAATCAAACACCATACAATGACTCTTTCTCTCCGTTCAAATCGATGCAAATTGTATATTATGTGTATGATTGCATTGACAGTGTGCGCTCGCTTCGTTTTGAACAGTCAAAGTGCGTTGTACCGAATGTGGAACGCGCATGAAATGCGCTTGAATTTAATTGATGAACATCTATTGAATCAATCAACGAAAAACATTTCAATGCCTTTCAGATCAACACAAAATTGACTCTCTTGCCATTTATTCATATTGTATGATAGTGTTTGATGCAATTTTTTTGGGGGAAAAAACCGTTTGCCAATTTATATAGGCAGTAAACTTTATGACTTTACATCATTAAAATGCAACTATAAAAGTTTTTTTTTTTCATGACATGTCAAATACTACACACATTTCACGAAAATGATAAGATAGAGGTCTTGAACGAGAAACGAGCGGATTGTAATATATGAAGAAAAAAATATAGAAAAAGTCACATGCATGCTTAATCAAATGAAATACAATGACAAAAATTCAAGACCCGCTTGTGATAACCTATTGAGATGTTCATATGCTTACACGAGTGAAAATAACAGCAAAAAAAGATCTATATCGTTCAAATTACATTCAGTTCACAGGCGGACAGTGAATGTGAGAAAAATATGCAGGAATCAAGTGCTTTCTACTGAGGCTGTACGATCATTTTCAACCAATTAACGCAATAATGAACGAAAGCATTGGTCGGTTTTTTCGATTAGAGAACACTCTGGGGTTATTGGTTGCACACTAATGTGATAATTACCGCCGATATGCGTTCAAGTGTTTGACGGTTTTCATTTTCTTCTTTCAAATGGAAGTGTTTCAACTACATCGATGCGAACAATTTTGTGTTTGTATGTTTGAACAATTGTTCGAGACGAATTGAAAATAACGAAAACAATTTGATTATTTGAAGGGGGCATAGAAGAAGGAGAGAGCGAGAGAGAAGTCGAAAATCCATTTAAGTACTTATGCACTGCGAACAGAAAAAAAAAATGACGCAATTCATATAATAATTTGACGATAAACATTTTCCAATTGAAAATCGCAAATCAGCACTGTCTTTTGATGCTTATGCATGTTTTTGGGCAATCGCAATAATATCAAAACACTTGCTTGATTTTTCGCCGACAATTTGCACATTTTTTTTTACTTCGTTCATGTTTTGAACGTGATCATTTATCGCTGATAGAGAACAAATGGAAAAATATCACCTTTTTTTTCATTCGTTCCCGCTGCAAAAATGTATTCGTTCACCTTCAAACTAAATGGAATCAACGAATGTTAATAAAAACCTATTTATGGTGACTTTCAGTGGCAGTTAAATTTGCAGGGAAAAAAATGGAACATGCGATAGCATTGAATTGAACGGTAATTTATTTTTTTAATTTTTTTTTTTCGTTTTCCTTCTTCGTTATGGATTGGTGACAATTATTCCAATTAACAAATGATTTTTTCAAATGGATACGACTGACAAAAACTTTAACGTTTTAACTTTTGATTCGCAATGCAGCACGTAACGAGTAACTGTAATATTTCAGATATAACACGAAAAAAAAATGGTGTCGACTATTTAATGCACACTTTGAATGCTGTCTCGTACGCAATTCGATCGCATGACGATAGACCACGTTTTTACAAGTATTTCTTGTGCATGTTTTCATCGCATCGCTTAAATTTGGCATGTGGTTTTGTTGTTAGGGAGAAAAAATTCTAATTTCACAATGGAATTTAAATAAAATAAAATTGTTTACCTTTAACACGTCCATAGACACCTTGTCCCTGATGCCAGGCGGCTTCGACAACTGGCAATTTCAGCATTTTCTCAAATGATTCCAAATGTGGTAGAAGCGCAGCACTATCACTATTCGCAATGTTGTTGTATTCTACAGCTAAGTTATTTTGATTTTTCTCCAGGGCCATTTTTATTTCTCTTTTATTTTTTTTTTATTTTGCACCAACTAATTTATATGTATAGATATATAGTTCGAAACGAAAACCGAAACTTTCTATTTCTTTTTCACAAACAAATCCAAAATTTAAAATGTGTGAACAAAAACAAGATAATTGTTGCTGTTGCTGTTAAACCACCAGTTTTATTTCTTAGACAATTGGTTACAATGGTACGTTTATTGCGATATTTTTTCAAACAATTTTTTTTTTCTTTGCTTCTTTATTGAAATGAGTTTACGCACAATATATGGATGAGTAAAGTTTGAAACACATGTGTTTCGATTGAGTTCAGTTCTCAAAATGATGGTGAGTTGTTTCGGTTTTATCAATTTTATTGCCGCATACGAAGCATGAGCGTGTGGGACAGAGAGCGCATACATGAAAGATAGAAACGACAAAATGATCACTGTGGTGCAGTGCATCAACAAACACATTTTTTCGTGTCGGGCGTGTCGCATGCGCTTGAAAAGGACATAAAATGTGCGAGAATGAATAAAAAAAAAGCTGCGTCGCAACCGATTACAGTGTATTGGACTGAACAACGAAGATAGAGAAAAAAGACACAGAGAGAAAAAGACAGGTTCGCGTCCGAACGATTTCTGTGTATGTGTATGAATATCCACTGGCGACAAAAGACCAGTCTGTGTTGATTGTGTTATGACTGTGTATGCGATTGTTAATAAAATAAAATTAAAAAACAAATGCGCATAATTGAGTATGTAAAAATCGTTTAGAAATTCCAACGAAAGAGAATACAAAGAGTCTCAAAGACTCGAACGATCTGTGATTGGCGTTGCGTCGAGTTTAAAGCGCACTTACAAACGGCGCGCACAAAACATTTTAAATATGTCTGCGTTTTAGAAGATAGAATGAAGTTGATGAATGCGGTAGCCGGTTGTCTGCGATTAGCTGTGTATGTGCTTACGTGTGAAATGATTTGCTTCGGAGCACATAAGTCTGTAGTTGTGATTTAATCGCATGCTCTTTAATTCTTTTGGTTTTGTCGTTATTCCGGTTAAATGTGAACTTTGAGTTCTCCTCAATAAATTGGATGACTCTACGTGAGCGCCATACTGGTGCCAAAGTCGCGCGCTTACAAAATAACTTATAAAATGTGATGATGAGCAATTGATCATGTTTTTTCTTCTTCTTTATTTACAGCAACGGTACGTTTAACGTGATAAACCTGACTCGATACGCACCCCAAACATTCAAATCTCATAATTAATATGCACTTTTTGTAACGGTTTTTTTTCTATTGTTTTAGTACTGATGTTTCGCTAATTGTTGTATATGAATGAGCAACTGTGATGTCAATGAACTACTTTTAAAAATAGAGATCTTTGTGTAAAATATTTAGTTGATTTTAAATTGAATCTTTCAATCGAATGATAAACCATTCAAATGTAGTTAATCCTGGTCATAAATAATGCCATTGACTTTATTATATAAATGCGTAAGTAGTGATTTGATACGAGACACTCGACACAAAAGACAAATTAAGTGTCATTTGAAGGTTAAACCGAAAACTAAATCAACGATACGATGGATGCCACTCCAATTTTCGATTGTTTAAAATTCAACGCATTACGTGACATCTCTTCAAAATGATTAAAGTCTAAAGTCGAACATCTATGACGTATTGGAATATATTTTTTTTTCAGTGATGAATTTTCCCAGAATAGAATCGCAAGTCTCGTTATGGATGTTATACGTAGTATATAAATTGTCGTGTACCAAAAAATATTGCTTTTGAAATGTCTATACTCCATAAGTTTGAGAAATACACGTTGTTATGATGAAATTGACTTCGACCGTCGCAAAAAAAATATTGAATCATCACTTACAAGCATCGATAAGGGGAATTTTGCAAGACATTTTAAACTTTGAGCCCATAGAACAGTAACCACATAGCGACACACTATACAGACGTGATGTGTGTTGACTATACATTTTTCAACTGGGATCTTATCAATCGCATCAACCAATGGAAATCAAAACATCTGCATTTTTTTAAATATTTAATTATATGCACGTGCTATGTGAAAAGTCAGCACACAAGAAATACCATTACATCGCATTATTTCCAAGTTCCTTTATTCACTAGTTAGTATTAAGCTAAATGACGACTTTTAAGCGAATCTAAACATCTAATTGAGCAGTTGAATATCGTCTGTTCAATAATAAAGCTAAAATAATTTATTCTCGAACCATTGCCAAACGGGTGAATTTTGACCGTCTACCATGTACATCACACATTTTTTATTTATCCTGAAAGAAAAAAATAGTTGAGAATTTAAAGAAAATCCATATTTTTAATGGATCGGAAAAATAATTTTACCACTTTTTGCATCCGACAATTGGGAATTCCTTTCGGAAGCATTGCGGCCGCAAGATATTAAAGTACGTGTATCCGATTTTATTCGAAATTAACGTATCGGTTCTCTTTAAACAATTGTAAAATTTAAGGTCACAGGCGCAATGTGTGCGTGTGAATAATCCGGTATTGCGTAGACCTTTGAACTCGCCACCCGATTTTATGAAAGCAGGACATTCATCTGAAAATGTGAACAAAATTCGATATTTATAATTGTTTCCTGTCGAAATAATTGATATTGAGAAATAGAAATACCATGTTGTTTGCAGCAAATATCGGTGTTTCGAAATAGTCCGATTTCATTTTGGTTGCTGGCCTGATTTCCGTCACCACACCACAGTGTACCGGGATAAATTGCCTTCAATCGATCTTTAATTCCATCGGTGATGGCTGTTATTGGTGACGGTGCCGGTCGTGTTACAATCTGACGGACTGGAAACGATGGTGGCGGTGACAACGGTGGTATGGCCTTTGTTACGTAACGTGATTTAACGGATATACGATTGTTGAAAAAATTCGGTACTTCGAATACGGAGTGATGCAACGGAATTGAAAACATCTTCATAAATTCACTTAATGAATCTACTTGAAAACCACATAATATAGAGTCAGTGACCTTGTCGAACAAATACGAACATTTAGCAAGCACATTACCTGATTGATTTTCACTAATCGGCTGTTTAACCATGGCAGAATGTTGATTCACACCGCCTACCGTTGATTCAAACACATACGGACCGGTGTCGGTCTGGAAAAAAAGAAAACATTCGCAATTTATTTACGATTCACTGGTTTTGAGCATATTGCATCCTCAAATCGGAAAACAATTTGCTGCTTTTTCTACGAATTTCATTCTAAACATTTGGTTTGATTGGCAACCAATTGGAAATGGCTACACCAATGGTCACGTAGAGAAGATTTATTTAAATTAAAATTGGATGATCGAAAAAAAATCATCATCCGAACATTGCTCATTCAGTTTGTGATTCATCGGTTATCAATTAGTGATACATACATACTTGAATGAAAACCGTTTTCGATTTAACATTGTCATTTATTTCATTTGATTATTGATTTTCAGAATTCAGTTTGGCTTTAATTTTAATCAATTGCAATTGTTAATCAATTTAATGTCATTTCTAATTGATTCGATGATAATTATTATCAGGCACATGCAAGATGCAATTCATGCAAGTGACCTTTTCAATTTCAATTCGAAGAGAGTTTGTACTTTGAATCAGCCACGGACTCAATTGTGATTACAGCCAGATAGAAAACAGAAGAAGCAAGATAATAATGCAATTTTGAATTATTGATGTTTCACGTTTTTTTTTTCTTCTCTGAAACCTTATGATGAACTCTTATGAGAATGTTACGGATAAAATAAATCGTAATTATGTTTGTGAAATGATTTCAATGAAAAATATACGATTGATAAGAACTACATTACATTGTCGTACTAATAGCAATGGTCAAAAGGTTATCAGCGTTTCTTTTCTTCATCGAAACCGAAACGACTAGTAAAACAAACTTTGTAACATGATCGTCGCATTTTGAAGATGCATCTCTCAGAATGGCCATTATTTTGATATTGAAATGACATTGTATTTACTTACGATTTCATGTGAACCAACGTATTTATTGTAGCCGCTGGTAAATTGGCTGTAATCGATTTTATTCAAATCATGGACTTCCGATGCAAATTCACTGGGTCGGTATTCATCGGAATCGAATGTTGTTGACGACGATGAGATGATCGAATCAAGTGGATTTACTGTTATACCAAAAACCACTGTAATTCGCTCGTGTAAAACCAATGTCAGCAAAATAAGCAAAGCGTTAAATTTGTAGCATTCAAATAGACAACATCTCATCGATTGCATCACATGCGTCATTTTGTTGAGAAAAAAAAGATTGTTTTCTACTCTAGTTTTCGTTTTGTTCAATTCATTCATGCAGTCTATTATTTTCCACGCGCCAATTTTATGTGTTTACGCGGCCGCACATTCGTCGTCGTTGTCGATTCACTCCACAAATTGAGATCGAGAGTTAACTATGCGTGTGATTGAAAAATTGCACACACAATTTGGTCTTTGGCTGCGCTACCTTTTTTTCTCGACTGTCTCTCTTTCTCTTGACAAGCGATTTGTTGATTTCGGACCAAAATTAGAAACGTTGTCTCTTCGTTGTGTATGAGCGATTTTCGGCGCAGGTTGTATGGAATAATCGATTTCGTAATCTGCAAAATTCAATGCAATGTATAGGCAAAACAAATTTTTTGATCTTATTCAACTAATCGCATCTGTTGTGAATTTTTTTCGGTAGAAAATTGTTTTTTCATGAGCAGAAAAAAAGTTGTTTACAGTGAAAAAATGACTTGCAGAAAAAAAATAGTGGAAAATTTTCGGTTGGAATTTTATTGAAACTTTTTTTTTAGCTCGAAACAATTAAAATTCTAAAAATGACTCATTCGAATTCACAATGATCAAATTAAAGGAGAAGCGAAAAGCTTTGACTTATTTCACGATAACGGACACACAACGTTGTTTTTTCTGTTTAAAATGTTCAAACCATTGTCTACTTGCAGGAGTTTTACTCTATTGAATAGAGTTTAAGCCACTATCACTTTCCGTCGCCCGTTACATTTTCAATTTATTTCAAATTTTTGTTTCATCAAGATATTATTTTGTTTCTCTTTTTTATTAATAAAAAATCTCGTACCAATTTCGAAAAACATGCGAAAAAATGTCCGAAAATTGAATTAAATCCTACTAATTGGCTACTTTTCCATGTAATTTTTCAATAACTTTAATCATAATAAACCACTTTATTCACATTACTTCTGACGTGAACAGCTTTGAACTAAAGGTGCACTGTTTTTTTTTTGTTTTGGTGTGAACTGTTGTGAATCCAAATACGCACTGTTCGTATGGCAGAGATTTAGCTAACCAGCAAACATATGTTTTGACTGGGCACATGGTTTGTTTGCGCGTTTGGTGGAAAAGCGAAATAAAATGTGTGATCAACAGAAATCCGCGTACGCGCAATATAACAATTGCAGAGTAGTACAATGGCGTCCACAAATAAAAAAGGAGGCTAGCTAAAATATAAATACATAATTAGTAATTGTTGCGTCTGCAATTTGATTGCGTCTCTTTCTCTCTCTCTCTCTATCTCTCTCGCGTCGGTATTATTTCTTTTTGCTTGAGCTTGAATGCTGAGCACTCGTTTCCAATTTTCTGTGTGCAATTCAATTGAAAGCCGTGCACAGTGTGTTTTTCATTCAATTTAACTGAAGACGAACAACAACAAAAACGCTCATTCTCTTAAGCATTACCGTTCTATTGTGTCGACCCAAACCACAGCACCGCTGCGAAGAATCCAAAGCCCATTTACTTTCAATTTGTTTGCTCGTTTTTAATAACACAGAAAATCAACTACCGTTTAATGCCATTTACATTTTAGCATTTAATTGTTTTGGAAGTGTTTGCGGCCGAAGCGTTGTGTGCTGGCGATTTATTGATAAATGACTTGATTGCTACAATAAACAAAAATGCGATGTGTCTTTGGAAGTGCCACGGCAAACACGAGTATTCGCGCGCTCACACGCACACACAAACGATTTTTGATTTCTCTATTCTAATAAATCGATCAATTGCACCAATAAGAATTAGAAATTTCTGTAATTGAACCGGTGGAAATTCGCACCATAGCGATTTATTTGAAATGCAGCACCCATTGAAAAAATCCAACGATTAATTTCATCAAACATTTATGTTTGAAGAGGGTCCGTACAAAAAAAAAGTCCGTTGCATAATTTACATGGTTGTTGTACTTTTGATTATTTCATTGGTGCAAATCGATGAATGTTTCGAATGCAATGTCGAAACGCTTCTTACATTGTGCCCGTGTCTAACCTTCAACTGACAATCATAAATCAATATGAACATGTATAGTAGAAGTAGCGATGTCAACTATTCAAAGTTGACAATCAATCGGTTCACAAATTGGGCATTATACACTTCCAGAATGTTCCTTTTGTGTTAAATTCGAATTGAATGAAGAGAGATTTGAAAAATGAGGTTACATGATCAACAATCAGATATCCAAGTTCACACATACACCACAATTTCCGAATTGATATGACAATAAGACCACAATATATGTTCCGGTAACGAATTTATGAAGGAAATTTAACGGAGTCACTGAGCTGATAATCAACAGTAATAATACAGCTATTCATTCAATCGAAGTAATTTTTCTATTATTCGTTCCACTCAGAAGGCGACACATTTGGCCATGCACTTTAGCAGAGAAGGTGACTATTAAAATGGTTTGGTTCCGATGCAAAGTTATTTGTTTCGGATTTATAGTAAGCTATCACATTTTGACGGTTGTCATGACCTTAAATTACTCCAAAGAATGGAATCACGAATTTTCGTTGAAAACTTTAAAAGACAAAACACCATTTTTGTTTTGAAAAAGTGATGCGTATGTGTCTTGACTGAAGAAATAACCACAATCGAGGTAACTTATAATTGTATTTAATGACATTTCCATTCAAAAGTGTGTTTTTTGAGAAGAAATAAAAGTTATCGTAAAATTATTTCGGAAGTGGAAGAAATTTATAATATATTCTAACATTGGTTATTCTCTCCATGGTAGATAGCCACAATTTCAAGAAATGGTGAAAAAAACTTGACCTACTCCAATAATTCAAATAGAATTCTATTTTAAAAAAAACGAACTGCTTCTGATTATAAATGACGGTATTCATTTCAAAATGTCAGTTGTTTGAGTTCCCACAATGAATCATCCAAGCATTTAAAAGCGATGACGGTGGCGGTCAGTATACACGTTTAAAATTCATCAATTATTCAAAACCATAATGTAGTCCGTTGAAATCAATACGCATATTGAGCGTAATGAGTGCAATATCTTCATATCAGTTGAAATTTGTTCGTCAATTGAAACGGTCTACGGATTTTTGTTACTCGTTCTTTCTACTCAAGTGATTCACATTGATCTCAACCTCTTTTTGAGATATAACATTTTAAGACAACAATAAAAACGATTATAATCTTAACAAACAAGCTCCTAACACAAAATAAAATACTAAATAGCGTTTCTTTAAACAAAAATACTCGAAAAGATTTATTGTTTGAAACGAAAGAAAAAATAACCAAAATGAAAACAATTGTGGAATTGATGTCCCCAGAAAACCAAGTTTTTACAACTTATATTGCATGGTCATGCATCTTAGTAATTAAGATGTTGTTGATGGCGCCATTCACCGCGTTTTTTCGCATGAAAACTGGGGTAAGTGGATTTTGCTAAATTTATTAGAAGAAAATAAGAATTTACCATATTCACTCCAATTATTCTTTGGTAGAGTGAATACACTTTTATATATTTTAACTGAATAGAATATTGGACATTTGATTTTATTTTCAGGTAAAGATCACAGCTGTAAGTTGTTTTCATATGAATTGGTAAAAATTGAATGTATATAACATCGAAACAAAATTAAAAAAAAACAACATTTGAAAACACCTTATCGTGAAGAAAAAAATAGCCCAACAAATGTACAAAGAGTAGTTTTTTGCTTTCGCTTGACCAAGAGCTAGCAATTGTACATTCTTTTTCTATATCACAACGATAAATAATATTTTTTCATTGACTTTTGATGAAAAATTGTGCATTTGAAAATGTACCCCACTTTTTCCGATTTTTTGAAATTGAAAACAAATTGAGTTTCGTTGTTATTTGGAGAGAATATTGACGTGCTTGAGTGAAGGTCTTCTTTCGAGTTTCATTTGTGCACCTCGGAAATGGATGTTTTTTTTTACTAAGTCACGATTTATGACCTACATTTTCACAAATACTAACCGCTTTACATTTATGTATTTGTACGTAGAATTCTCAATTTTCCAATTTCTAAAAAAATATTTTTCAAACAAGGGAACACACCATAACATCATTGTTATCTCTTCAAATTTTTTCTCTCTATTAGAGAATCAAAATCACGAACGTGTTTATATGTAAATTCAGAGTTTTGCTCAGCGCTGCTGCCATCCACAGTATATTAAAATATCTTGCTGAGAATGCGTCGTCCGTTGCATGCGAAGGTACGTAGCAGTTTTTACATCACCGCGAACAACAATACATGCATCGTTCTCTATACAATTGTTTGAATGTTTTGAGTGACATAATCGTGAAGAGAACAATGCATGTATTCTTGTTCGCTGTGATGTATAAACTGCTACATACATTCGCATATGACGGACGACGCATTCTCAGCAAGATATTTTGATATGCTGTGGATGGCAGCAGCTCTGAGTAATACTCTGTGTAAATTATCTTGGAATCTTTTGTATTCACTAAATGAAGTAAAAATATCAACAGTACCTCCGAATTAATTTTTTAATTAATAATTATTCAAACAACAATAATGTTACTCGAATATCAACAGTCCTATATTTGATTCAATCAATTTGATTGCAATATTCTCGATCGATTTAATTTACCAATATGTGTGCATATTCTTAAACTACTCCAAATGGTTTGTTTCCAAACTACTGATTAAATACAAAAAAATTCTATTGTTAGCTCGAGATTGTTTACCAAACATTTTATCTGGAAAGGCCTTTTCTCCAGGCAAAATCCGACAAAACAACAAAATTTAATCCTCACCTTTGATTTGAGAAAATGTGAGTGAATATTTATATTTCATAATAGATTTTATGATCAACTTTGATTTCTTGATTATTTGAGTAACTAGATACTAAAAAGTTAATAATGACTCAGCACATAGTAATCAAATCCTTCTAAAGTATTCATGTATTCTCTTGTAAATGATCTGTTTTGAGTTTACAGTATAACACGGTTTGTTATTTTTTGTTAATTAGGTTAAATATGGACTGAGGTGGATAATTATATGTTCTAGGACATACGATAGTTTCTGAATAAAAATAGTTTTGATTTCTTTGATTGTCCAATTTGTCTTTGTCGTTGATATAATAGTAGGTTAATTTGAAATTTTTGATTTTTAGAACTGGGTCAAATGATACACCCTATCCAATGGAAAGTGTCTATTGTATGAATCGTCTTTAAGTCTGATAGTTTTGAGAACTTTCGCATATTGTTTAAAGAGAATCAATTAAATGTATCGCTCAATTGCTTCACCGAAATATAATATATTCATATTATTTGCGGTAATCGATACATTTTTTATATTTTTTTCAAAATCTCATACATAATTAAATGTCCAATATGTCAACTGATTTGAATGGAATGCAAATAAATAATAAATCGTCAATCGGTTCACACGACAAATGTCAAAACGGTTTCATTCTGAGATGCCAGTGAAATATAACCGAAAACCGATTCAAAATATACGAAGAACTCTCTTACGGCACACAATCATCTGACCATTTACCCAGCAATACATTCAAAAATCAATTTGTATTCAAGAATGTATTACAATACATTTGCGTGCCGGTTGATGAAGCATAACCGTGCTGCATAGACGAATTGCGTGCTGCATTTTGCATACTTGTTGAGCATTCACATTTGTTGCGTGGTCAGTAACGTGCCGATAACCAAAGAGTCAAGTTCATTTCTGTTTATCGAAGTATTTGGCTGTGATTTTCAACGCATAACCTTACGAGGTGCAACATCAAAGTACAGCTATTTAATCCTGTGAAACAGCGCAAAAAAAAAATCAAGAAAAATGTCTGCCGTTGTACCAGCCACATTTAAATTGATTAGTCTTCAGAATCCAGTGTTTGCATGCTATGTAAATTGGACGGTGCTTTTGTTATTGAAAACGATGTTTTTGTCGATTTATACGGCATATGTTCGTTTAAAAAAACAGGTTAGTTCTGCCATCTTACCCTCCCGCCAAAAAAAAAAAAATATCGCACCGTTTAATTGCATATGATTTCAATTACCTTTCGATAGACGTTTGCGAATCCAGAAGATGGACCAGATGGCCGCCGAAATGTTCGTTTCAATGATGATGATGTTGAGCGCGTACGACGGTAATTTAAAGAGAAAAAAATCCATAATTTTTTCCCGATCTCAACATTGTGAGGTTAAATTAATCGGCTTTTGTTTGAAATGTTGTAGTGCACATCGCAACGACTTGGAAAACTTATTTCCCGGCATTATCATTGGATTTTTGTATGTGTTGGTCGATCCACCGACGCTCAGTACCTGTGTTCTATTCAGAGCGGCTGCCACGGCTAGAATCATCCATACCTATGTATACGTAAAAGCAGTTCCACAACCAGCGCGTGTTCTTTGCTTTTCAACATACTTCATGTGCACGGTTTATATGGCTGTCGCGATTCTAATGCGTGTCATGTAAATTGCCAAATTATTTCAAAATTTAGAAAAGAAACATTGCTCACATTCTAAAGCATTCATTGCATTTATGCCCGTCAAACACAAAAATATACCGTAATTTTTTTAAATCGCTATTGTAAAAAAGTAGAAAATGTAGGAAATTGTGCCAAATAAAAATATCGAATATAAGTAAATCGGTGGTGTTTTTTTTTACTTTAATGGCAACGGTGCTATGTCTTTTTTGACACCTGATTTAATATTGCATTATGATCAAAGTATATTTTGTACAAATGATTGGTAAACAATTTTAAAGTATTCGAACTAGGCAATGAAACATTAAGCACACGATCCGATGTAGAAAATCATTTTTTATTGGTCTTATGCTAGAAAAACAAATACATATTCAAAACCGGCGTCTTTTATACGCGACACTCGTATGTAGATACTTAACGCGATACATAATTCCAGAGAGATTGTGTTTATATACAAGGAAAAAAATCAAGTGGATTTGTTGAACTGTGACCATTTGAATGTATTTGTCACAACATTTGTTCGTGTATTTTATTCAAACATAAAAAACCGGCTTATCATACACAATACAACTGTGTCCGTAAGATTAAATATGGCAATATAGAAACGGAATCTGAAGAACGTTACATAATTTTTTTTGTATGGAGTTGTACTATGTAAAAAAAATTATGTAACGTTCTTCAGATTCCGTTTATGTATTGCCTTATTTATTCTTACGGACACAACTTAACATACTTTAATTTTTACTTAATGTCAAAATCACTTGTCATCGTGAATAATAGTTCAGTTCTCAATTATCACTTCATGTGAAAAGTTCCAGAAAATATTTTGTGCTCCTGTGTGTTATTTGAATTACTTAAAAAAAATGGCAAACGTGGATTTGTTGAATTTTTCCAATCCAGTTTTTAGCTCGTACGCATACTGGGGTGCAATATTGGTTTTAAAATGTTTCTTCATGAGTCCATGGACTGCGTATTTCCGATTCAAAAACAAAGTTAGTATATTTTGGATGAAAAAGAAGCGATTTAAGATTGAAATAATGTTGTAAAATTTATTCCAAATAAAAAGACACCGGCTAGTCCAGAGGATGCGGTGGCTATGGGTGCTCGTGGTGAAATTAAAATAAATACCAATAATCCAGAGGTTGAACGAGTTCGACGGTAAAGTCAAATGCCGTGATTTATTTTCTATTACAATCAAAGTCTAAGCGTACATTTTATTTTCTTTAGCGGACATTTGAATGATTTGGAAAATATTTTGCCATATTTATTCGTTGGTTTGTTTTACGTATTGACAAGTCCATCGGTGTTTTTGGCCACAACACTATTTAAAGTCGCCGCTATTGCTCGTATCGTTCATACCATTGTATATACGGTCATTGTGGTGCCACAACCAGCCCGCGGAATTTCTTGGTTTATTCACTACTTAATTGGCATCTATATGGCCATTTCAGTTGTACTCTATAGCATGTAAATTTTTGGGAAAAAAAATTAAATATGGAGTAGGATATGATAAATAAATATATATTTTTTTATTCCAAATTTACTTGGTTAAAGAAATTACTTAATCAATTTCAACATAGAGCTAATTTCAATTTTATGGGGCTATTTTTTTAATATTTTTCCAACATTGAATTTTAAAATGCTGTTGAAAATTTCAATTTGCTATCATTTTTTATGAACAGTTGTAGCAATTGAAATGTGGCTATTTCAATCGTACTTCTGATTGATGTACAGATAATAAGAAAACGCACACAGCAATAAAATAATTTAATACTGATTATAAAGATGATTCTACACAAAAAAAATTCAAAAATACTACACGCAATAAGAAGAATAAGAATTTTCAATTCCGAATAAATACTTTTACGAAAAGTGTGTCATAATTTGTTTCTGATTTATAAATATCGTTGTATTTGCTGTTCTTTCATCTGTTTCTGGCATACAATGATTTTTGGATAGAATAGATCCGTAAGATCTCCGCAAGATCCGGATCCAAGCGTGCGTACGTAGCCGCATGATACATACATTCCTTACTCCGTAATGCTATGGCATGCGAATCAAAGAAGGGGAAATAAGAATAACGAATTTGCGTGCGTATTATATATGTATGCATCATGCGGCAGCGTACGCACGCTTGGATCTGGATCTTGCGGAGATCTTTCGCATCTATCCTATCTAAAAATCATTGTATGGTTTCTGGACAATCTTGCAAATCATCGTGACTTTGCTTATCATCAAAGATCGCTTTTCGTCAAAATGCTGTTTTTAAGTAAATATTAGTAAAGTAATGAAAAAAATTTAATGGCGCGTTTGACATATTTCCACTGGGGATTGCATGAACAGAACCTAATGATATCAGAATAGAAAAAATTCTACTATCCAGACAGTGGACAAAAGTAGCCCGCGGTGTACAGTAGCAACTCGTCAGAACTCCAACATTATAGTGCTTGCATAATTTTATTTTTTATTGATTTTTCCATCTTCGATCGGACGTTATTTGTTTTTTCTCAATTATCAAAAAAAATGGGCGATGTTAAATTTTCATTCCAATTGCTTGATAAAGGCAATCCTGTCTTTAGTGCATTTATCATGTGGGCCAGTGTACTGACCATAAAATTTCTTCTAATGTCCACTTTGACTGCGATTCATCGATACAGATCAAAGGTGCGTGTGAAATTGATCAGATCAAACACTTAACTCCGTAATATATTAAGAGAAATAACATATTGTAAAGAAAAATGAAAAAAAAAAAAATATTATTAATAAATTAAATTTTTTATGAAAAAAAAAAAAAAACGGGAAAAAAATTGTTGATTCATTTCGTATCATAATAACATATGTCTGACGGAATTTAATTGTGTATGTTTTGTATTCCACAGACAGCAGCCAGCCCTGAGGATATGGCTATGATGCGAGTTACTGAACTCACTACAAATGAGGAAGTCGATCGCGTTAAAAGGTATTTTCATTTTCAAAAATAAACATATAGCGAAAAAAAAAACTAATAAAAAATTGATTAAAATGCATTCATCACAGAGCTCATCTCAACGACATGGAAAATATTCTACCATTTTTGTCTGTTGGTCTATTTTACGTGCTAACTGATCCCAGTGCAATGGTTGCCATTTGGCTGTTTCGTGTGACGACAGTGGCTCGTTTCGTGCATACATTCGTCTATGCAATTTACGTTGTTCCACAACCAGCTCGTGCCATTTGCTTTTTCACGCACTTTGGAATCACCTTCTACATGGCATTCATGTCCATTTTATACTTCATTTAAGGAAATACGTTGATGAATTCAAATTGAAACGGACACAGCAAATGCTATTAATCGCTATTAACTAAATGCACAAAACAAAGCATATAATAACAACACAATCAGTTACTATACAATATATCGTGATATTTTCATTTTTAACCCATAAAAGACGTTAAATTTCTGTTCATTGTTGTGACTTAAAATGTATTTTTGTCTATTATTCAAATTATAAAGAATAAAAATAATTTTTAGTGTGTTTGAAAAAAAAAAACAGTTTTTCTGTCTTTTGTATGTATTTTTGTTCGATGGCAACACTTTAGTACAACTTTGACATGCGATAAACCAATATGGCGTCATTATGGCAAATTTTGACAGATAAACATGAGACCGTCAATTCGACGCTTCGTTTGTGTGACGAAAATAAGCGGATTTTATGTTGAAAAACATTTCTTTTTAAAAAAATAGTTCAATTTATTTGGCTAGAACAATGGATAAAAGTTTTGAGATGAAGATTGACGAAGAACTCGTCGATGATGGCTGGGGACGGCACAAGGTGGACGATGAAGTAAGTGAAATTATTATGCATTATTTGGTATTTGTTTACACAGATGGCTTACAAAAATATGTTGTTGTTTTTTCAATTTTTAGATGGAACATACGGATGAGCCCATGGAAAATCCACAAGAAGTCATTGACGAATGTTTGTCAAAGTTTTGCACATCGGATTATATTATGGAGCCGGGCATTTTTACACAACTCAAAAGGTTCGTGCAACACTTGAATTTTACAGAAGAACATGTCATTTATTCTTATTTTGAACAGATATTTTCAAGCCGGCGGCACTCCAGAACAAGTTATTAATCAACTGTCACAAAACTATACGGCCGTTGCTCAAATGGCCAATTTATTAGCCGAATGGTTAATTTTGGCCGGTGTTTGTGTTACAGATGTACAAGCTATGGTGGAAAATCACTTGAAAGACATGATTTTACGTACATTCGATCCGAAAAAAGCCGATACCATTTTCACCGAAGAGGGAGAGGTAATAATTGAAAATGAATTTAATGCTGATTTGGCATTGACCAAATCATCGTTGCAAACATAGTATTTATTTACTTTAAATCAATTTCCAGACACCAGCCTGGTTGACCGAAATGGTTGAACATCACACGTGGCGTTCATTAATTTATCGTTTAGCCGAAGAGTATCCAGACTGTTTGATGCTGAATTTTACGATAAAATTGATATCAGATGCTGGATTTCAAAGTGAAATCACTTCCATATCAACGGCTGCACAACAAATCGAAGTTTATTCACGTGTACTCAAAACATCTATAATAAAATTCCTAACAAATCCAGACGATGTACAGAGAAATATCGAAGAATGCGCAGTTAGTATACTGATAAGATTCATTGGCGTAAGCGACACCATTTAATCATAAAATCTTCTCTTTTTTTCTGCATTTTCACAGAGAATGGTGTGCCATGGCCAACACACGTATGTGTATAGTCAGGTGTTGATTCAAGTATTGTCTCAGGAACCAAAAGGTGGATTCAATATGAAACGCTTATCTCAGGAAATTACCAAATATGCACTTCAAAAGTGAGTGAAAGTCATTTTGAAAACTATTTATTGAAAAAACTAATGAAATTACCATTTTGTGTCTAGTAACCACAATGTGACACCAATCACAATGACTTTGAATGGTTCGGCAGCATATCCACAAGGTAAGATAGTCACACTAAGATTATCAACAAGCTTGATAAATCAATGTAATAAAATTAATTGTCACTTTTTCTTCTCTTCAATGACGTCAAATGCAGCATGTCAGGCGTTAACATCAATGTTATCGCGAAATACATTAAATCCAGCCGACATAACCGTTTTGTTTCGAAATTATTCGGCATCCGATTCGCCACCAATTGATTTAATTCGAAATCCACAATTTTTGGATCTTTTGGTTGACTCACTGTTTCGCACCGGTGTCAAAATCAATCCAGAGCACAAAAGCAAATACATTTATTTGTTGGCATATGCGGCCAGTGTGTGCGAAACATACACAAAAAAGGGCAATAAACGAAATATCAATAAAGATGAATTGAAGGGCACCATGCAAGCCATTGAGAAAGTGCACGGAATATGCAACGTTAATCTCGGCTCAACGGAATTAATTGCCGAATTGCAAACACTGTACGAGTGTATTCGATTTCCAGTTGTTGGTGTTGGTGTTATTCGTTGGGTTGAAAATACGGTCACCGATCATTCATATTTCAAACTGTCCACCGACAGTTGTCCCATGCATTTAGCCATACTGGACGAAGTGGCCAACGTTCATTTGTCGCTTCATCAGCAAATCCTAAAACTTCTCATCAAATTATTCGAATCGAAACAAGATGAATTGGAAATTTTGGTGCAGGTAATATACGATTGGTTAACGTGTGAAAAAAATATATTTTTAAATAATTTATGTCATTTCCAGTTGGAATTGAGAAAAATGCTTTTGGATCGTATGATAAATCTACTGACGCGGGGTTGTGTTGTGCCTGTTGTTAAGTACATCAAACAATGCTGCCAGAAAGGCGACACAGACACATCACTCATTCGATATTTTGTAACCGAGGCAAGTGTTTTTTGTTGGGTATTTATTTTGATATTTAAACAATTTCCAGTACTTACACAATGGAATGAATTTTTGTTGTTTTGTAGGTTCTTGAGACGATAACTCATCCATATTCGCCGGAATTTGTGCAACTGTTTTTACCCATGGTGGAAAATGAAGAAATTATGGGCTCAATGAGAGGCGAAGGAGACAATGATCCTGTTTCAGAGTTCATTGGTATTAAAAAAATGTTCTTGTTTTAACCAAAATATTGAAAATAAACTTGTTTTTTCTTCATTTCATTTACAGTTCATTGCAAGGCCCACTACATGACTGTGTAGCTTAAAAATTCCTCCGACTGCTTGAAGTAGTTATTAATTAATTTTACTTATCAATTTAAATTGTAAGAATCAATACACATTCATCGTAAAAAATAAATGATTTTATGATAAAAGAAATAATTTTCATTGCATTAACTACGAAATAGAAGAAATAAAAAGAAATTCCATTATACTCGCATTTAAGCGTTATATTTGGTTTGTATCTTAAATTATAGAATATGCGACAGTGTGTTAGTAAAAAAATATATAAGAAAAATATATAAAAATAAAAGCTATTTCCAGGGTTTTGTGTGCCAGCCAAAATGCTTAGTACATCGACGGCCAGGAGTGTTCAAACGGGGATGATAATCCCGGATATTTGTCTCCATACAGGTCTTCACAATCCGGCAAGCTTGGATCGTACGGACATTTGCATTGGCAATTACAATGAACTTTGTCATCCTCACAATAAGGTTCATAGCTGTAGCGATTACGGCGGCAATATGATGCTGAGGTAAACGAAAATTAGGCATAAATACTCTTGATGGCAGTTTTCAAGTGAACACAAATTAGATGTATGAGAATCACATTGAAACTTACTTGAACCTGGGGTGTCGAATGATTGATTGATGATTATTGATTTTGTCACATGCTCATCTGCAAAAATTAAATATTTTAAATAAATTGATTGAGAGAAACGGATTCAAAGCGGAACATTTGAAATTCTATGATTTTTTTTTATCTGAACGCATCTGAACGTTAGTATCAGGACAACATTGTAAGTTATGTACTAGTTAGGATTTATGCAAACATACCCTTATGTTTATCGTCTGACGAACTGGAACAGCTGGAAGAGCTCGACGAACTTGAATCTTTTCAATTAAAATTAAAATGTTCTGCTATTATTATATGTTTTTTAACTTTGTGGCTAGTTTTTGATAATATTTTCATAATAAGCAATTATTTATCTAATGCTGCTAACGAAAACATAACAAAATTTGCAAATCTAAATCCCATCTAAACATACCTTTCTTCGTGTCTTTTCCCACATGTATAATAACCTTTGCTGATTTTGAGAATGAAAGAAAAATATTCACGTTAATGTCTGAACATATGATTGTAGAACGAATTATTTACCATGGGTGTCTTCATGTTTGTGTTTGTTGTCAACTAAAAATATTCGATTTGTTTAAATACTCATTCAATTCCAAAGCAGTGGTATTAATTGAGACTGTTCAAAATTGGTTTCGAGTCAAAAGATTTTAGTTATTCCCTATAATTTATAAAAAGTCAATGCGAAACATGTTTTACAATAAGTAATGAGAAGTAATCAAATTCATTTTTTAAACTTCAAATATTGTTGAAATTATTTTTCTATAGAATTATCCAATCTTTCTTCGTTCGATGCAATTTTTGAACTGCCCCAATAAATCTACAAACTGTTCAAAATTTACCTTTATTTTTGTTCTTATGATCATTGTCTTTTCCCGTCTTTATTACAATCACTTTTTTAGATACATTTTCTGTTTACGATAATTTGAAAAAAAAAAAACTTACATACACCTCTTGAGATATTATTTGAAAAAAGATTACTTACCATGAACGTGTTTGTCCTTTTTCTCAACTAAAAATATAAAATTTGTTCAAATATGCATTCCTTTAAGCAATATTTAAACTTACCTTCTTTCGTTTTCTTGTCCTTTTTGCTATGATGTGCATCTATTAGAATAATCTTTGTAGGAGTATTTGCTGTTTTGGATAGGAAAAAACATTCACGTTAACTTCTAGAGATATCGTTGTAAATGGTAAAAAAAGACACTTACCATGAGTGTCTTTGTGAACTTTTTTCTCAACTAAAAAGATTAATTTTATTATGTTTACATATATTCAAATTAAAATTTTATTCAAAACTTGCCTTCCTTCTCCTTCTTCACATGTTTGTCAACTTTAACTACATCCTTTTCAGATGCGTGTGCACTGTCTTTTTTGGTTAATGAAAAAATTACGTGATTTTGACAAGATTTCATTTGAAAATGATCTACCTACCATTTACTTCTGTCTTTTCCTCTGTTTTCCCCACTAAAAAGATTACGTTCGTTAGTTTTACAGACTTCCTTAATTTAAGCACCATTTGAATCTTACCTTCCGTCTTCTCCACTTTCTGTTCATTTCCAACAATCTTCACAGATGCATGTGCTGTTTTTGATAATAATAAAAATTTAGTTCAACTCGTTGAATCATTATTGGATTAGGGATTGTTTACCATGAGCGTCTTCCTTTTTGTCTTTTTTCTTAACTAAAAAATAACGTTTATTCAATTATTCATTAAATTACAAAGAAATAGAATGTATCATCATTATTTTAAAAATTATTATTTTTCAATCATTTTCATCATCATTTGAAGCTTACCTTCTTCTACTTTTGCTAAAAAACAAATGGATGTAAAATTTATTAGCAATTAAAAGCAATATTTGAAATCCTGTTGAAGGTTTCGATGAAAAAGAATCTAGGGGGAAACACGGGCTCTAATATTGCTCATTTTTCCTAATTTTTTTTAGTAAATCGCATGCGATATGCATATAACGTGTAAATTTGACACGACCTAATAAGTCCTAATTTTTCTTAGTTTGTGTCTACCCCCTAGAAAATAATCATTTTTTTCTTTTCTTTCTTCTTCACATCTGGAAATTAACATAGTTTTAACATATATTCAAATGTGAATCAAGATCAAAGTAAGAAATAAAAAAAGAAATTTTAGAAATAGTATAACATTAACTGGATTTCAAACCTACCACTTTCCTTCTGTACCGTAGTAGTTGCCTTTGCAGTATCTGTTTCATTTGTAGAATCATTTACATTAACTTCTGGACATCTAATTGAAAAGTGGATAACTTACCGTGAACGACTTCCTTTTTGTCTTTTTTCTCAACTAAAAATATACGTTTGTGTGAATGTTAATACACGTGCAAAGATATAGTATCAATTATAATTTTTCAGACAAAACCATTAATCCAAACCTACCTTCCTTCTTCTTTTCCGTTACATTAGGTTTTGCTAAAGAACATAGGAATAAAAAAACATTCGATTTTGAAACATGTTTACAGTGATCAACGACTAATAATCGCTTCCTCTTCTCTCTGTCAAGCTTCAATTCATTCTTTAGCTTATTTTCAACATGAATTCAGATCTACACCAACTTACCGCTAACTTTGACCTCTTCTTTCTTCTTCACATCTGGAAATTAACATAGTTTTAACATATATTCAAATGTGAATCAAGATCAAAGTAAGAAATAAAAGAAGAAATTTTAGAAATAGTATAACATTAACTGGATTTCAAACCTACCACTTTCCTTGTGTACCGTAGCTGTTGCCTTTGCAGTATCTGTTTCATTTGTAGAATCATTTACATTAACTTCTGGACATCTAATTGAAAAGTGGATAACTTACCGTGAACGACTTCCTTTTTGTCTTTTTTCTCAACTAAAAATATACGTTTGTGTGAATGTTAATACACGTGCAAAGATATACTATCAATTATAATTTTTCAGACAAAACCATTAATCCAAACCTACCTTCCTTCTTCTTTTCCATTACATTAGGTTTTGCTAAAGAACATAGGAATAAAAAAAACATTCGATTTTTAAACATGTTTAGAGTGATCAACGACTAATAATCGCTTCCTCTTCTCTCTGTCAAGCTTCAATTCCTTCTTTAGCTTATTTTCAACATGAATTCAGATCTACACCAACTTACCGCTAACTTTGACCTCTTCTTTCTTCTTTACATCTGAAAATGTAAATGCGTTTCAAAGTAATAAGTAACAGCTATATACAGTTAATATAGCAAAAGTATACTTTTGAAATGAATTTTGAACTTACCAGTCTCTTTCACCTTGGTACTTGCTTTTACTGTGCCCGTTTAAATTTGCAAAAAAAAAAACACGAAAATGTGAAAATCATAAAAAAAATGTAACTAAAGAAAATGTTTTTTTGCACAATTCCTTTCTCAGTTATGTATATCAAACTGAAAATGTTTGTTGTTGAAAAATTGTAATTCGGACTTCTGAATGGAATTTATGTACGAATTAAAATTTATGTAAGCATACCCTTATGTTTTTTGTCTGACGAACTCGAAGAGCTGGAAGAACTCGAAGAGCTGGAAGAGCTGGACGAACTCGAAGAGCTGGACGAACTCGAAGAGCTTGATGACTTTGAATGACCTTTTCAATAATAATGAAAGTGCTTAAAAAATGTTTACATTCAAAACAGAAATCAAAAGAACTTTAATGTACCTCTATCAATCACGAGTATTGTGGCTGCACAAAATAAAAGGAAATAGTTTTGAATAATCATATTTTTTTATATAAATCAATTTTCGTCGTTATTTACTTGTATGTTTTTTGCCATGTTTATCTAAATATCCAAATAAAGCGTTGAATTAGTGAATATAATATTAAATATGTTGTCATTAAAAACTTTACCATGTTGCTTGTGTCCCTGTGCATGAGCTGAAGAAAAGAAAAAGATATTCAGTAAAAATGTAAATCATTTCCATATTCAATTAATTCGAAAAATGATAAAAATTCATTTATTTCATAAAAATTTCATCACTTTAATGATGAAAGAATCTGAATCGAAATGGAATATAAATGTAATGCAAAAAAAACGGCTGATTTCTCAATGAAATGAAAACAGATGCCGTTTAAAATTGGCGATGAAACAACTGCAATTTAATCTGATGCAATGTGAAATCGTGCAAGAAATATAAAGAAAAAAGTGTGTACAGAATTTTGAAATTCAACAATGGTGTGATCGCTTTAATTGAAACGAATCAGTTTTATAAGAAAAATAACAAAAATTATTGATGGCGATGTTTTACGGAGATTTTACGTTTTATTAATTACTTTAATGTTTTACCTGGTTCATGATTTGGCCCACCACTATTTGCTTCTGCGATGGCCTTTGGTGATGTAAAAATTATATGTTATTTATAATCATCAAAAATGAATTTAAAACTTAAAAAATGATGATAAGTTTCATTTAGCAGGGTTTGCCGATACAAAATGAATGTTGGAAATATTAACGGAATTTAAATAAACTTCACATATATTAGCACCCGATCAAAACCATCGCCATGTATTTTACATAAAAATCAAAGAAAATCGTCGACATGTACGATTTCAATGATTTTGTTATTATAAACAGTCAATAAGTAACTGGTAAACCCTGTTGAACTTGATCTCTCACTTATTTAAAAGAAAATCAGTTAAACTGATATTTCATTCAAACTACACTAAAAATGGTTGAGTTTTTTTTTAAATCACGAAATAAAATATTAACCAGGAGTGAAATTGTCACAAAAATCACAGTCAGTAGGAGCTTCATTATTGTACTGTGAATGAAACAGATGAACGACAGTCTCTTATATTTTTTTCGTTTCGTTTCCACCCCATATCGTTGCCGCAATGATGAAATATGATTTCAAAATTCATACCAGCTCGTTATTTTTTTGTGAAATGTGTGGACAACGATTTTTTTGTGCCATTTCAGGCGTGGTTCAACTGTGCAAAGAAATATTTCCAAACAACAAAATATGATAAAATTTGAGATGGAGAAGTAATAAAGAGAATGATATGAATGAGAGAACATTTCAAATTAAGATTGAAAATTATTGCTAGAATGTCAGATTAAAAATGAAAATGCCTTTCGTGTAATGCCCAATGTAAATAATGAATGAAAAAATCGTCCATTGACATGTTTCATCATTTACAACAATGTTTGTACATACAAAGATTAATGTGAAATTAAATATATGAAGAATGGCATACATATTTCTCAATTTCAGTGAGACTCAACAGTTAATTTTGCGTAATGAAGGGTAAGAAATCATACCAACTTTTAGACTGTAAAATAGATAGAAGTGATATGGAAAGAGGAAATGCGATGTTTAACATCTATGAAGATTCATATTTATCATACGCCGCAAATATATAGGATACGCTTTTTACCGTCAAATAGTATCGGAAAAGATCGTATAGTTTTACATGAGGTATTTTCAGGAAGTTCGTATCAAAAAATAAAACGAAAAAGGGGACATCTGACTCAGTTTGTTCTAAATTTCGAAAATAAGAGTGCTTAATTTTCAAGTCTTGTTGTGAAGCTTGAAAGCTTATAAACACACACAAGAGATAAACCCAACAAATTAATTTAGGATTCCTATTAAAAAAAATAATGAATTTGTAAGGTTTCCTTAAACATCCGCAATATTTTACCAGGAATCCTAAAATGATTTGACAGGTTTATTTCTTGTGTGAAGATCAATAAACAATTCTAGAAACAATTATTAAAACAGCAAAGGCGTATATATGACAATAAAAAGAAAGTGGTTAGCCGGAGACGAAAAAATGCATCCGATGTTGAAATGTTAAAAACAGAAAATATTATCAATTGTCAATTGCTTCACATAAATTTCACTTTAGATTGCTTCTCCACTGCTTTTGCCACAAATTCACTTCAAACAATTACCGTGGCATTATCCACCTCCTTGTCGATGTCTCTGCACTGCAGTGTCTTTTGTAATTAGATTCGGCTCTTACCGAAAATGATCAAATGAAATGTGGTTAAAGTGAAGAGAGAAAAAGTAACAAAAGCCGAAGAAAATGAGAGAAGATAAGTTTAAGAATTAAGCTGACATATGGTGAGCTTTGCACGAATATATTTTTCGGTATGTAACGATTTTTGTGCACATATCAGTTGGAATTATCTTTCTTTGTTTTTTCCTCGACTTTCATTTCGATGAACTACAATAAATGCTTGTGACCATGGTGCTATGGCATCGTTAAGAAACACAAATGGTTCTTTTTATCAATTTGACGACGTGCACAACAAGGTGGTCTTTATCCGGAATTTTGCGAAAAGATCTTAGTCTGAAGGCTTATAAAGTCCAGTTGGTACAAGAACTGATGTGGCATAACCAAGGACCGGTTCGTGCATATTTCCATGCTTGCTCAGATACGCTAGGTAGCATAGATATGCCAAGCATAGCGGCAAATGCAACCGACGCATCGCCGTCCACTCTGTATGAACATACCCATGTTCGTGTATGCAGGAAGCCGTGCTTTGAGAGACGTACGCATAAGATATAGCTTGAGTCTCCGCTATGCTTAGCATAGCTATCTTGCATAGAAATATGCGCGAACCGGTCCCTGGGCATAACCATCCAAGATGCCGCACATTCGTCGGTTGGGCCCTGCAGAAGCTCCAAAATGATACGAATCATACCGAAAAAGATGATACCGAAAAATCATATTTTGGTCAAATTATTGGCCTGTGTAAAACGTAGTTGTGGAGACCATTACCCAAAATTATTTTTAAATCATAAATGGATATATCAAATCTATCAAATAGAGCAATTCTCGTGATTCAAATTAAAAATAGTATATTTTTTATTTCAATTTAAAGTTCTATCAGTAAAAAAAATACCCTTACTTAATCTGACAAGCATACATAAATATCCAAGTAATTCATGTGTTTACTATGGATTTTGATTAAATCTAAATCAGTGATGTTTTTTGTTGTCTGAATAGCGCTAGATATTCGCAACATCTGTCCAGCATTGCTGCCCAGATGCTGATTCGATGCGTTCACCGCAAGTCGCTGTGTGTGGTACAAAAAAGTGTGTTCCGCATGCGGTATGCGGTGAACGGGGCAGCAATGGTGTACATACGCTGGGAATATCTAGCGCTATTAGATTGAATCCGGCACACGATGTGAAATTGAAACAGGGTCAATTATAAAGTTTTCTCAAAATGCATTTGTTGTAAAAGAGTTGCGTGAACAAGACGAATCTTTGGACTTAACAATAAGCCCAAAACGGAAGGCAAATAACGACATTAGCCCGTCGCCAAAACGACCGCATTCATGTGCATTCAGTTTTGATGATGACGATATTGTTAAATATCAGCGAGAATTTAAGGATGATAATGATCGCGTCATTGATTCAACGCCAAAACGAAAGGCAAACAACGACATTAGCCCGTCGCCAAAGCGACCAATTTCATGTACATTCAAGTGTGAATTGGGTACATTTACATTTTTTGTCTATGGTATTTATTTGAATTCACTGTTTTTGAATCCACTAATTCGATATTGTTTCCCTTTAGAAGCTACCGCTGAAGAAAAAAATGATGACAATGAAACAACAATGTAAATATTTGTTTTTTTTTTATTAAGATGACGAAAGTGCGGATGAGATAGACTATCGCCTATCGACGCACACAATGCTTGTATTTTCAATGTGCGACGCACTCTTGCACAAAATTTTGACATCTCAAAGGATGGTTTAAAATTTTTGGACAACGGTCAAAAATGTCAAACTAGTGGCTAAGTGTGCGTCGCACATTGAAAATACAAGCATTGTGTGCGTCGCACATGGAATATGAGTGTACACACTACTATGTGCGCACCCTGACAGAGTAAAAATTACAGCCCTGGTGATGACAAATCAACTATGTTATAAGCCACCAGGGCCAATGCCACCATCAGTATCAGGTAACGTGAACAATTGAACAATTGTTCAAAGACCGATCAATATCAATTTTGTTTTTTTTTTCTTCCAATTTATAGGAGCTCATTCACATCCAAACTATACTCAGCCTCCTCAACCCCAAGTACAGAACAGTACAGGTAAATGACTAAATTTCAAGATTCTCTTTTGAACTGCGCGTTAATATTAATTTTATTTATTTGTAACAGCGCCAAATGCTCAATTGCCGCCACCAGTTGGTCAAAATATCTATTCGCAACAGTATCAAGGTACACCAGGTGGCCCTAATTATCCGGCCACACATGCAGGTTATCATCAACAAAACTATCATCCGACATCGCCATCTCACATTCTATCTCACATTCCAAGTGTCGCCGCACCAAAAGGTAAGATTTTTGAACACATATGACATGCATTTTCTTAATAAAACTGAAAAATTCGTGTCATTTGATTAAAAATTGAATTGCTCGTTAGTTTTAAAGAATGAATTGACATTTTTATTTTAGCTTACGCTCAGAATCATACCGATACAGCCAACAATAATTCGACGAAAGCAGCACCACCGACCACATCACCACATCACATTCCAAGTATCGCACCAACGACATCGAAAACCTCCGCCTTCGCCAATCTTTTTAAACCAAAACAAGCAAAGACAAAGCCAGCTACATTAAAAATTAAGGTGTGCACACATGAAGTCTTACGAGACTTAATCGAAGATAAATTTGAAGTTGAAGACAATGTATTGGACATGGAACTAGAAGAAGCAAGAAAGCATTTCCGTAACGAAGCGCAAAACGCAAAGAATAAGGTTGTGCAAGACCTACTGGGAACCGAGTTCCATGTGCCGAATAAATTTTTGAATCAATCCATCGAAAAAGGAATGCAAGAAATGAAATTGAAATTATTGTTACGTGATGGAGATGATAATGGCGAAGCCGATGGCATGAACCAATTGATTACAAAAATCTTTGATCTTCATCAAATGATGTGCCCGTTTCGGAACAACAAAGAAATTAAAACTGACTACTTTCCGAATTACGTGTCTCTGGGAATCAGGGACCGGGTCGCGTATAGAATTATACAAGATATTTATACTTTGTATAAACGCAGACGCAACATATCCGTCGCTGTTCGCTTTGTTCTGCGCTCAATAAATACAATGTATGTGCGTGCGTCTCTCAATGGTCACATGCACACACGAACATGTACTCGCATGCTTCATACATAGCGAACAGCGATGGATATGTTGCGTCTGCGTTTATACTTTGTATATTTATACTGCCTGCATTTTTTTATGCTAGTCGAAAGAATTACTTTTCCGCACACCTAGTGTAGGGAAGGTATTGTATTAGGCCAAAAAATTAAAGTCATCCCAAAACATGTTTTCTATGCATATTTTATGTAGAAAACACGATTGGAGATGATTTTGGGGCATATTAATGTGCGTCGCTTTGTGTGATGTGTCCTGTGTCCTGTGTCCTGTGGCGTGTTGCCAAAATTTGTTAACACGATAAATCCTCTTCCAAAAACTCAATTCAAATTCTGACTTTGCAGGATGATTTGGGACTACTAGGAGACGTGCTGATTAATTTTTGAGCAATATCTGTTGACCGGTGTAATTTTTTTGGTCCGAATGGAGTACCCACAATCCCACATCCATACATTTTTGATCATTTCTCAACCATTTTGGTGACACGATGGTTTCGTGCTCAGACATGAAATTCAAAATGTGACTTCACGGGATGATTGGGCACTACGAGGGATAAATCTGGTCAAATTTTCAACGACATTGATTGATCGATGTAAAACTTAGACTGTGAAGAGGCACTTATGAGAAAAATGCCTTAAAATGATA